TACATAATGGAGGTTCTACCATAATCCGCAGTCGACGTGGTAGTCTTGATCAACCAATTGTACACAATCCCTCGCTATAATCCGATCGGTCGCGCCGAAGCACAGACGAGTATCGAGGTAAATGAGAAAATCGCTTGGTTCGTGTTTTTCCAGCGTGTTTCGTTCCATCAGCGTTTTTAAATAATTAAACCGGCTTAAAGGATCCGCGGCGCGGCGTCGATATTTGCATACGACCGGTTCCGAGCCCGCCGCGTGCTCCCTCTGTTAATTAATTAATACTAATTAATCACGGATGACGATGGGTCAACGATAAACTCCAACGTCGCGGAACATTCGCGGGCTGCTGTTCACGAGGCTGATCTTCATCCCTCTTCCCAACAAAATCAATAGCGTCATCATGGGGATGCGTATACCTAACTGTCCGTGAAACTTTTATGCAGCGCTTCAGCAAGAAGGAATTATTTATCACAGGGATCGCAGACAATTTTAATTTAACCCTCAATTCTGCTTCAAATTCTGTTATCTTCTTTGTTAACATACCTTAATTACATGGTACCAGGTAAATGTAAATATACTAATGTCGATGACAGAAGTATGATACATTTTCAAAACAAAATCATAAGTTTCCCAGTTTTTAATCTTACTGCTATTACATGCTATGTAAATACATTTGTATGTATATATTTATTGCTTCTCCGAATAGTTACGAGTCCTCCGTCTCCTTTTACAATATACTCCTTAACCTACTCCTCCCTCTCCTTGCTATGTAAATACATTTAACCCTCTATGGGCCCGTGTAACTTTTGGAACACATGCTAATACATCGACATTTTATCAAATAATTTTATTCTGTTGACAAGATAACGTATACGTCTTAATTATATAATGTCTCTGAACTAATAACAATATTGACGACGTGTTGGCAGCATCATCAACCTGAAATATCAACATAAATGCCTCCCATGCAATGTGATTTGAAGATGAAATTCAAATTTTGCTAGATCTTTATGTCAATGCTACGCTACTATTAAATTTACCGTAAATTGATTTTTTAAATTCGCTTCAGTTTGAAACTATCCTTACAATTTAACGGTATGCTACAGTTTCCTGTAGGTGCTCCTACAGTTTCTACGCTTGGTACACCAACAAATAAATTGCATTTGCACAAAGAGCCCCACCGAGGACTGTACCATAGTATAGAAGAAGGTTCAAGGGTTGACGTCGCGGATTACTGGCATTGGGTAACGCCGCTGCGCCTACCCGCGGTGCCTTCGTTCTTTCAGATCTACACAAAGCTAATTAGTCGCTCGTCTGATCGGCATGGAGAGGGAACGGTGAAAGACGGGGCAACCATAAACGGACGAATGACTAATTACCCGCGGATCCATTGGAGTGGAACAACGTTTTCGAATGCACGTTTATGCGGTAATACAGACCGCCTCTGTATTACACGGCGGATTATTAACGCGGATATTTGGTTCGCGGCGGCGTTCGTTGCAGCGTATAAACGCGCAGGTATACACGAGAGCAAGCTTTCGAGACGACGCCTCGGCACTAATTAGCGCCACCAATTAACGAACAGCGCGGCCCTGCCACCCTCTGCGCGCCTTTCTCTCTCGCTCCCTTTCCGATTCCACATTTCCGTCTCGTTCTCACCTTGCCGCTATTCCACCCCTTTTATCTATTGATCCCGTGACTCGGCAATGGGCACGCGTTTTTCATTCTCCATTCGCCCGGCCATTTTCATTTTGCGATTTTAATTTTCACCTCTCGCCCATTAAAACCAAATGAAAGGGATCGCCGTTATTTTTCCTCTGATTTCTTTCTTCCATTTTACAGAACCTCCCCTCTCGCCGCCGAGATCTTATCGGGCGCGAATGTAAATCCGTTTCGCGTCGAACGGACCCTCTCCGTGATGACCTCGACCCGGCTTTTAGGTTTCTTCCATTTAATAACAGCGAACGATGCTGACGAAGTTGTTAACGGAATCGAGCTTTCGTACGGAGAGTTCGCAGTTTTAGATTTAGGAGTTGTTTCCTCTGGCACGCGTGGATGATATGTGGTCATTTGATGTTGAGGAATCATTGTTTTGTTTTTGGATGAAGGCCGAGGGGTAAGCATTATTTGAGAATTTCTTCCAGAAGTAAAAAGTCAATTAGTCAGTATTTATGATAAAGGAATATTATGCTATGTCTATATCGTAATTTATAAGATTGGTATTGGAAGTCTACAGCTATAGAAAGAAGAGATCGTCTTAGGGTGAGTGTCTTCACTTTAGGTTGAGTTGGAACAAAAATAAAACTTTCTTATTTCCAAAGGGTGGTACCTTTATGGGATCGGCTAGGATGATTAAATTAGTTTTAAAATTAACGAAGTAATTGTGTTTTATAAAAACAAATTTTGTTTTCTAAAAGGAAAATTTACATTATCACAAAGAAGCTAGTAAACGTAATAGTTAGTTATTCTAACTATATGTAATTCCATATTTATTTTAATTATATTACGACTCACATATGGATATAAATGTTGAACATGTAACCCACAGTGGTCGCTAATAGCTGATGCGACAATAAATAAATAAATAAATAAATAAATAAATAAATAAATAAATAAATAATAATAATAGAATTATTATTAGAAAGTATTTTAAATTCAACCAAAAAATTTCATTTAAAGGAAGAAGTTGACCTTCGAGTTCTCTCTATGTGTCAATCAAATGGCAAACACAATAATTTTGTGTTATTACGAATCCTGTCATTCTCGGAAACTATTCCCGCCAACAATGTCAATCTATTCCTTCCTCACGCGCGCGTTAGAGAGCAAACAGGCAGGTAAACGCGAAAAGTTGATAACAGCGCGACTCGTTGGAAGGCAGCACGCGGAACGCGGACAAAGCGATTTTTTTTTAAGTGGAACGCGTTCGTTCGTTCGCTGAAAGAGCGCGAGATACAAACGTGTGGCGAGGTATTGGCCAATTGCGCGGTCGAGTCGCGCGCAGAGGAACGTTTGATTTAACGGAAGTCGATTTGTACCGACGAGATGAATCACGATCGGCGGGCTCCTTTCGCGGCCAGAACAACACGTGTCGCTTGAAAGCAAATGTATGTAGCCCCGTGGTCGGCAGCCAGCATTCTTAGGTAAAAAAAATCCTCCTGAGCTGACAATGCCACGAACCAACTGAGTCATCGTCGTTCACGAACTCGCCGCGGTTAATATATTTATCACGATGTCGAGCAAAGGTCGACTCGCCGACAAAGTCTGGCGACAATGCGATCGCGATCGTTGATGCAGCGTGCTCCGAATCCGGGCAACGCGTTTCACTTTCGATTGACGCCATTTTCAATCCTGCGGCGCGAAGACGTGTGCTGGAAAAAAGAGAACAAAGAGTTGGAGAGGGTAACGGTTAAATAGATTGGATCGCTTTTGACGATTTGTTGATTTGATACGATTTTGGCAAACAAGGCGAAAGTATTTTTATTTGTTAGTGATTATCGGTGTGCTGTTTGAGCCCTGAAGATATTAGATGCATTGCTGGCGGAACTAAGAAGTGTCTTATTCTAGGGACATGAATTAAAACGTTTCAAAGTCGAAGGTATTTTTAGAAATTATTATTAGGCATTTATTAGACAGTGACGTGCTAAAAGGATTTTTTATTTGTGGAAATTTTTAACTCGGTAAAAGTGTACACTCACTTGTTCTAGCCAAAATTCAAGAATTTGTTTTTAAGACTTCACCTTAGTAAATATGAATTTAAATCTTGAAAAGAGTTCTTGAATATTGTTTATGACAACTGCGTGTACCTCTGATAAAGATCGAAAAAAGGATTTTGTAGCATGATGGAAGTCTGATGATCCTTCGGTATCAAATGCTGTATAAATTGAATTTATTTGCTCTGTAAGTAATTCATCTACAGAAAAAATAAAAGCAAGGCTAGCAAACATCTCGAATTATTAATTTAGACACCAGATAACAAATGTTTTCGTCATTCTAGGAAATCAGAGACAAAGCGTAAGTAATTTTGCCATCCAACCAATTCACTTTTCATTCGTATATCATCAAATAACTAAAATAATTCCGCAATGGTGTAAGGAATAAAGACGACATCCGATAAATGCAATATTAAAATCCGTACCCCCTGCTACAATACGCATAAATGAAAAATTAATTCCAAGAGCAACACTCTTCTGCATCAAACAGGCTTCAATTCCCCATCGACATTCCACATTCAGGTAGCCAGATTTGCAAAAACTTCGAGACGAACAACATTCCTCCGTTTGATTCTCGGAACGACGAGTCACCTTGTTTTTCTGGATAACACCGCGTGTAACGCGACGCAGGTATTATCGAATATACTGTAACGACTGGGTTGAGTTATGAGATACAAGCCGCGAATTGGAAGCGTGTGATCTATCGACGGTAAATAAAGAGGTATTCGATACGGCGGAGGTTGAACAACGATATCGCGATCGATGATCTGCTATCCAGGTGCCTCGGCTAACCAGAACGGGCGTGCGTTTCTTTTAAATATCAACCGTTCGCGAGCAAGGCGACGGTGTAAGCGCATTCGCGCGTTGTTAGCTGCCCCTGGGGTTTGTGTCTAGCTGCCTATTGTAATTGTATCTCTACCACCGGTAACTGGACGTTTAATGAACACTTAAGATAACGATTGAAATAAAGATACCGTGGGAGCGGGCCCGCGCTGCCACGTACACCGGTCCCGGTGTACGTTTGCTGCGATCACTTCTTTACTCGGCCACGCGGTCGTTGCTTGAAGATACAACTAGAGATTTTCAGGAGGAAATAGCAGAGGTAACGACGTTAACGAGCCACGGTTGGCCTTATTCTTATCGAATACCCGGGAAGTCGCGATTCGACGATTTATGTAGATCCCCGCGACGATTTGGATACGAAGAATTTTCGTTGGCGTGTAAACATCATATGCCACGATCGATCTAAGCCAATTGTAATGGACACCAGGAATTAAATAAAAATTCATGCTAGAACTTTGGATATAAACTAGATTTTAATAACAAGGATTTTCGGCACAGAGATACAACGTGGTTCGTTTCGATTTGGTATTCAGTCTTTCTAGTGAAAGATGCAGTGTGTCTTTATTAGCTATGGCAAGTGGAAAAAGTAGAGAAGGAGAGGAACTGAGATAAGGATGAGTCTTAACAAATTTTCTAAGGGTTACTAAGATAAAGAAGCGTGTTGACTTAAGTTAGTTACGTGTATAAATATCAACTAGTCTGACGTTAAAAGGAAATATTTTAATTTCCTACAAAACAATGATAACGCATGCATTCCAGCTTCTCATACTAATCGCCCAGACCCATCATGCGACCACTGCAGAAACGCGTCTACGAGGAGCACGACTCGTCTGTAGTGATGGAACGGTATTTCTAAATAGAGACACTAAGATACCATTTGTGATAAATTATAAGTTACACTGCTACATATATGTAAAGAATGTCAATCTGATTCTAATCGGAAGTTGCAACGCGTTTAGCGTCTTCATTTATGGTAATATGCACAGGATGGTTCGAAGCGGTTGTGCTTCTACCTTAAAGGATTCAGTCCATACTGTTATACACGGAAGACGTTTCAAATTTCCGAGTGGCAGCAACGTGTCGCCATTCTCGTTCCACCAACCGGAAAACGAACATGCTCAGCAGAATTTAATAGAATATCCACGTCTGCCACTTTTCTGCATGTGTCCCAAAAAATAAAATTTTCAAGTATTCCTGTTAAGTACGTGTCGGCGCCTAAGAAATAATCCCTGAGAATTACATGGAAGATGATTATACCGAGGATTAAGAAACCTGGTCCTTTTATTTCGCAGCCAATAAATTGCGATTTTAGATGTTTACCTTCCAAGTTTATGACCCGGTTAGATTGGCTACAGGTGTAAACGACAGTCCACTCGTCTGGTCTCATTCCAATTAATAACTTCCTCATGCTGGAGCTACAACTGCCAGGATCATGTTAAACTTATTAACGTAAAACTTGTTAAGCTATCTACTTGCGAGAGGACAAGAGCAGATGTTACGCACGTGTACCTTAACAGGTTAAGCGAGATAATTAGATACCATTTGACGTCAGTTCTTTTCACTCCTGCATAGTCTTAATTCTTTCATTTTAGTTTTTGTTAAGTTGTTTATTCTTTTGAACATTGTTAATGACGCTTGCTAAAATTAAAGAAATTAATTCATTTCATTCCTTTTATTTAATAGTCTTTCATTTTAGCTTTTATTCCATCCATTATTCATTCTTCTAAACAGTGTCAAATTCGTTAGAATTCATTCTTTTAAACAGTATCAGATGATACCTGCTGGTATTAATTATTTCAAGCAGTATCAGATGACACTTACCAACTACAGTATACATAGGCCTCTAGGTCTAGGTGATAGTCCATTTGCTTGGCCTTGTTTGTTGTATTCGATGTCCCCATGCTCGTGATGCTACATCACGAGTCTTACTATACAGAAAGAAAGCAAGAAAGCAGTCACCACTAGGTTTCACCCAGTAAATCTACCAGCAATAATCTTTCTTTGAGTTTAGTTTCTTTGGAACTCGAATTGTTAATCAAATGAAAATCGGGCTATATCTTCGAAGTCAATCTAAGCTTAACATTCGTGGCAATAGAATGCTAAGAAAACATCTCGAGGTGCTGGTAGATACCAGAAAAAAAGCCTCGAATGCAAAGGGTTAAATATATACAAATACCTCAACATGTTAACTACAATCCCTAGATTCGTTTAACGTTCGCACAACACCAAATGTCACTTCCCAGCCAAACTGCAAATCACAGACACTCAATCAGTAATTCTCACTTCAACCACTCACATTTCTACACCCAATCGTACCCATGCCACGTACCCTACAAAACTCGTCGAGCTACACCGCTGTTCCTCCGCGATAGGAGTTCCCGCGACCAAAACGAGTCCCGCGTTAAAAAAATAATCGCGAGCTAGCCTCGAGGAGCGCGACAATCGCGCCACCCTCGGCAGCGCGGGGTGGGAACAGGGAAAGATCGCAAAACGAGGGAAAAGGTAGGCAGAACATGGCGAGAACGAAGAAAGACGGGGAGCGGACAATCGCCGGATGCCGGAGGCCCGCGCAAACGTGAGCGCAGGTGTGCCAGGCTTATACGGCGAGCGCCACGACAGCGGTATTAACGTGCCACTATATCGATATCGTTATAATATGCAAATGCGCTCGCACATGCGGACCTCGAACCGGAGAGTTAAGAGCAACACGTGTTGTTCTGGCCCGAGGAGGTACCGGGAAAGGAGATCATCGATCGCGATCCGTCCGATGCGGGCCGACTTCTGTTTCAAATCGAGGATCTCTATTCCCCCTGGTCTCGCGTTATTTTCCTCGCGTGTTCGTTCGGAGCGTCTTCATCCTGAAATGTCGCGGCACGCATCGTGCGTGTTCCGTTTGAAAGGAATCGTGCGCGGAGCCGATGGTTACTGCCCCGAGGAAGAACCTCATTATAGTCGAACACGAGGGAAGGTGTGATCTTGTCGTTGGAGATTTTTTAGGGACAGGTTCATTTTTGGCGTGGAGTGAAAAGGACGAAAGGTAACTCGTTATTCCCTGGGAAAATTTTAATTTCATTTTAAAGATGAAGAGTGTAGGGGTCCTTTTGCTATGTATGTTTGATGGAAATGGAAGGTTTACATTTGTTCTTCAATATCGATGTGCATCTAATTCACTTCGTTTTTATTAAATAACAGAGTGTTGATAAAGAGATATTATAAAGATTCTGTAGAACAAGTTCAAGTCTATAATATTCTAAAAAGTTCTTGGACTATTTTTTTTTCTTGGTTGGAGCATTGAAATGTCGAGTACATTCTCACTAAGTAAATTTGCACATGTTTAAGATAAATTAACGGTATACAGAGCTAGAGTTAATACATATTAAACTTTTCTAGGAAAGATAGCAAAGAAAACAGACATATCTACTCGATCATTTTCAAGCATAATTGTATGAGAAGGTGCATGTCATGTCTACATACACCATGTGCTATTTTAACCAATACTAGTCGCAAGGTGATTTACTGGAATCCCAAGACAATACAGTTATAGGGAAATTAGAAAAGTTCTCTTTTCCGCGGAATAGCGCGCAGTTTTATACAATAACCCGGAGCTAGCAATCAGTCGAAACAAGCTGTATCATGTTTTGCTAGTTGGATAAAATCGCTACCATTCTAGGAAAGCTATTCAATCAATCAGATTCAATTCGTGAACTGCCAGTCGGTAACAGTTAATTCTCCACTGTGAACCAAAGATGATCAGTAATTACACACATATTGTATACCGTTGTATATCGTTTCAGGCATTTCTTATCGAGATCATTCTCAACAAATTAGGACTTCTGCGTGAATTATGGAAAACTTTATTCAGTAAAGTAGTTATTTCGAACATTATAGTGGACGTCATTTCTTTTTAATATTTTTTTCAAATTTATGTTTTCCTATTACGCTGGACGCATAAATGTCCGCGAAGGCTTCGGAATAAGGTTGTAAGTATTATTTAATACACTAGATCATCCCATCCCTTGTGAGAACGTCAAAGAATTAAAAGAATACAATAAAGCAATAAAAAGTAATATGTATAAATTTATTAACCAATTATATAAGCGAACGTGGTCGGTCGTCTCTAGTAAAAAATGAAAACGTGAAAGCGTGAATTTAGTCAGATCACGATCTAATCGCAGCAAATATCTAATGACTTCAAATTGGATCTCAGAGTTCATATCTCTTCGGATCTTGTTGATTCATAGACCGCGCACCGCGTCTCCCCGAAGATTGATTTCTTCGCGAACCTTGCGCTGCTCGGTCGTTGGCATAATTTACGCGGGATTAGAAAATGTTTGCCACACTTCGAAGCGCCTGGTCTCATCGCTGTCCTTCTGGCGAGTGCCAGCCGCCGTGGAAAAAGCGATGCTTGACATTTTCACGAACACGCCGCGAGTGTCGGCAATAATTTACGAGTGCCACCCGCCCGCAATGATTTATCACGTCCGCGCGCGATACACAGCGATACGTTTGCAACAATACACGAACGTTTAATAGTCGACATTTTTTCACGGTCGAGTGTGTACGGTTGTTGTTCCGCCAATAAACGCTCGGGTGCGTGTCTCAGCTTGGAGCGTTGTAGCTCACCGCAAATTGCCAGGCCCGATTTCCCGCGGGTCGACGGGAAATAATCGAGAACAGACGCGGGTCGCGTCTCGCGGTCAACAATGGCCGATTGAGACGTACAAGCGCAATGATAAACGATACGAGGCGTTCTGCGGTATGCTGAAAATTTTCACCGCAAATGGTTTATCGCTGGAACACGGCTCTGCTCCAGACTGCGAGGCGAGGCGACATTGTCAGCGACAGAGCTGCTCGTTATTTTAATGTAGCTGTATTTCAATTATTATTCGAGCGGGAAATTATTCGTTGGTTGAAAGGTTTATTGGAGGGAGAAGTAATTACTCATTGTTTGAAATTTTGCGTAATCAGTTGTGAGGATTTCAATACCTGAGAGAAATCAATTATTTGTTTTGATCGTTATTGATGTTGTTTCTTCTTTAGAAGTTCTTATTTGATCGTTGTCATTTGAAAGAGATAAATTAATCATTAAAGTAATTTATAGGAATTAATGTACCTTATTATTGAATATAATACAATAAATTGAAAGGTTTCTATAATAAAAGTTATTTAGATTATTCTGTATACTTTTGTACTTTCATATGTATAAGTGGTGTTGTCATTTAAAAACGATAAATAAATGATCAAAATAATTAATAACAATAAATGTATGTTATTAATGAATATAATATAGTAATGAGTTTTCTAAAAGTGTCTTTGAGATTGTCTTCTTAATAAAACACAAACTGTAGCATGGAATATATCTGATTTATACATGTCATATTAACATTTCCACCATGACGATGTTGACAGGCATATTTTACTATAAAAAAAGTCCTAACATCCCTTTGGAAACCCTTTAATAAGTGTATCTTTATCTATCGTGTTGAGGTAGGGTAATATACAACAACACGTGCTTTGAATTAGTTTAGAAAAATATATTTGTAACTTAAATCTAACTAAACATCCTTACACAGAAGCTTACGATACGATCGAACCATACGCGCAAGCATATGACATCTTAGATGGCGCTCGAATTGTATCGGTCCAACATATTGCATCGAGTTTGCACACTTAAAAATTCTTGTTACTAATACCAGTTTCAACCAAGATCACCATTACGCAGCCAGAAATACTAGGAATCTTTGTCGCGATTGAATATAATTTAGCCATTTTCAATTTCGAACAAAGTGACTTCATAGTCGTCGCAAACAACATCAGATACCTATTTGCATAGATTAAATGTTTGATATACAGGTTTAGGCGACATTAAGTATCATAATGTATTAACGTGGCGCATTGGATCGCTTCGATGTAGTTTATCTAGTGGTATGCAATTACGAATGTTATTTAAGTAATCGACACTGTATAACTGTAATTCCTGCTTATGGGCGAACAAGTGTATAAATAAACAAGTTTTGATGCTGAATAAGAAGTTACCAATGCCGAGTGTAACTTCATTTATGGGAACCAGATAAAGAGAAGAAGAGTAAAATTTAATTAGAAATTAGATTGAAAGTAATCTAATTTCCGAGCGTGTTACGTCAACATTACATTTATTATACATATAATTCAATTGCAGCCAGCAAGACCGAACAAACGATTGCAACTTATCATAGTGGAAGGTTGCTCGAATAACAGGTTAGAAAATTAATCGAATTGCGTCATAGATGGTGTAAAAATAAGATAGCATCAAAAAATAAAAGTGAATTTTAGTAGCTTAAAAGAAGGTAGCAAAATTAGGTATACATACATTTAGACTCATGTTTTACATAGACATATCATATATAAATGAAGACAGATCAAATTTGCATTTAAAACACGAGCAATGGACTGACTTACCAGCAAACATTAAAAATTAAATATATCATATGTTAGATTCAGAATTCTAATGTCTAGAAGACTACGCAGGAATTACCTTAACAATCTCCTCCACCGACAACATACTATGTAACACTTTTACACATACTTTGTTATTAGAATTCTTTTTCAATTAGCCTTTCTGTCACAGAAATATAAAATGCTGTTAAAATAATTTACCAAATGTCCATACGTGAAGATTAATTAAATAAAACTCTTCCAGACATTTAGATTGCTAAAAAAAAAACTCTCACAGATGTTCTCCGATCCCTCTCTCTCAACCAGATCACCTCTTCAGGCAATAAACCTCTCCCCGGAATTACCTGCAAAAACCAGTGGTAGACAGCCTGCCGATTACAGCTAAAAATCAGCTGGTCGCCGAGGTACACGAGATCCCTTTCGCCGAGGCGCTTCCTAAACACCAATCCCAGCGGGTCGTCGATCAGGGTGGCTTCGTAGGAGCCGAAAAGTCGAGGGTTGGTTAACCAACCTCTTTCCTATTTGGCTGCTCGCAGCAGGCGATCACCATCGAGCAACAAAAGCCAAAATTGCGGAACATTAGTCAAACATCGCCACGCCGTAAACTAAACCCGCTTGCGGTCTCTCTGTTGCTGTTAGGCATGCGTTTCGCCTCGTCTTACCCAGTTGATCGTTCACCCTCTCGGTTCGATCGCCGACACGCTCTTTCGTCCGTTAGAAACAGACCAGAATCTGACCACCTGGTGGCACTAAGAGGTTCTGGATGAAGCCATCAATAACCCACGATCGAGTAATGCGCGTGCGGCTTCTACACGTGTAGAATATCGTGTATACGATGGCACCCT